CCCTAGGGAGAAAAAGCCAAAGTCTTGAGGAGTGAGTGCATGCTGGCTGATATCACTTTTGCAAAGTGTTTGCTAAGTGCTTACTTTCCATAGATGATCTCATTTAATTCTCACAATAGCCCTGGAAGGTGGGTGCCATTATGAACTCCCTAAGAAGCTTAAATATTTAAGGTCACATATGTAGCAAGTAGTGAGGATTCATACCTGGGTATAGTTGCATCTTACAGCTAGGTTGCTAATGTGTTCCTTAATTTCCTCAAGGGCAATGCTGACTGCAATGCTGACTCTTTCCTTCCTTCTTTCTTTCTTTCTTTCCTTTTTTGTCTTTTCTTTTCTTCTTCTTCTTTTTTTTTTGTTGTCAGTTGTGGGGCTTGAACTTTAGGCCTGGGAGCTTTCCCTGAGCTCTTCAGCTCAAGGTGAGTGCTCTACCACTTGAGCCACAGTGCCAGTTCTGGTTTTCTGATGGTTAATTGGAGATAAGAGTCTCACGGATTTTCCTGCCAGGGCTGGCTTTGAACCATGATCTTCAGCTCTCAGCCTCCTGAGTAGCTGGGATTACAGGTGTGAGCCACTGGTGCCCAGCTGAAGGGTGATCAAGCAAGGTCACACTAAAAAGGGGACATAAATCAAAGAGGTGAGGAAGTTAGCAAGCTACTATACATTCCTCTGAAAGAAGAGACAGAGAGGTAGAGGAAATAGCAAATACATGCCTAAGAAGGCACCAGAGTAGTACATTCCAGAAGTAGCAAGGAATCTAGTGAGGCTAGAGCTGAGTGATGAAGACAGCAGGGAGAAACGAGATCAGAAGGCTACATGGGACTGCGCCTTGCAAGCACTTACCAGTGACTTAGGGCTTTTTGGCTTTTACCCAGCTACAGTGTAGTCCTGTGGAGCAGAGGAGGGGTGTGAATTGATGTAATTTAAACAGAATCCCTCTCACTACTCCGTTAGGAAGAGGCTGCAGAGGGACAAGGAGGCCAGTCAAAGATTGCTGCTGTCACTTGGGCAGAGGTTGGGGCAGCTTGGCCTGGGCACAGTAGACATGTGGCAAGCACTTCAGTTCAGGGTTCATTATGAAATCAGAGTGGGAGGGTTGCTGACAGGTGGGATGCAGTATCTGGATGCAAGAGAATCATCAAGGGTGCCTTGCAGGCTTTGGCCAGAGCAGCTGGAGGCTAGAACCAAAAGTTCAGAGACACAGAAGAGTACAGGAGGAATGGTATGGTTTTGTTTGTATTTAAGAGAGGGTCATCAGGTCTCGGGATGGGTCATTAAACTGAAGATACTTAACTAGACATCCATAAAAAGTGCCACTGAGAGGCAGAACCGGAGCTCAGGAAGGCTCTTCATCTTCCTACATGGATTCCTGTGTATGTTTCTAGAAGATTAAACAGGCCAGCAAAATGCTGGGCATTGCAGAAAAGTATCTCAGAAGCCAAAAAAAAAAAAAAAAAGTCCTACTGTAGCACAAAGCCTGGTGCCTCTACTGCTGGCTTTGGGCTTATTTAATCTTCCTGGTTAAAGAATTTATGCAGTTGGCCTTATATGAGTCCCTGAGTGAAGACAGTTGCCCTACACCAATTGGGTAGGGGCATTCTAAGAAGAGGAGACAGCATGTACAAAGGTCCTGAGGAGGCAAAAAAAAAGAGCAAGAAAAGAAAAAAGAAAAAAAAGCACATTAAGGACTCTGGGACTTGACTGCTTACAACTTGAAGATCAACTACAAATGATGTCTTATAATTGTGAAAATACTTGAGTGTCTTTTAAAACACAGAAGAGTGAGCATGCTCTTCCTCTGGAATTACCCTACCAATTAAAAAGAGTCATATAGATCATTTAGGGCTTAGTGAGCACTAGAAAGTGGGTCAACTTCAGACAATACTCGTTGTGGAATGTGATTTTGTTATTCAACTTAGTCCTTTACCAAAACTTGAATCGAGCACTTTATTTTTCTTGTTCAAGCAAGTCCTCAGTCGTGAACTCAGGGCCTGGGTGCTGTCGCTGAGCTGTTAGTGCTGACACTATCACTTCAGCCTCAGCTCCACTTCCAGCTTTTCGGTGGTGGTTAATTGGAGATAAGAGTCTCATGGACTTGTCTGACTGGACTGGCTTTGAAGTGCGATCCTCAGATCTCAGTCTCCTGAGTAGCTAGGATTACAGGCGTGAGCCACTGGTGCCCAGCCCAACACTTAATTTTATAGGAAGACTTGAGGGTCCAAAGAGGGTAAGTGATTTGCTCAATTGTTCAAGTACTTTGTACAGCGTTTCTAGTAAGGTTTGATTGTCTCCAAAAACAGGACTCCAAGCTCACAACTCCATGGCTCAGAGTCCTTTGCCAGTCGGGGAGTGTGCCTTCTCGAATCAGCCTATCAGGTGCATGGATAGAATTATTCAAAAATAGGAAAACGCAGAAAAACATTGGTCGCTCAGTCCCCAGTCCAGGAAGATTGGGAGTCGGTTCGCGTCCCCCGCAGGAACCGGCAGGGGGCGCGCCAGGCAAGGCTGGCCAGCCGCGCCGCCCCCACGGCCTCGGCCTGCCCCGCCCAACTTGCCCAAAGCCACCGCTTCAACGAAAAGTGGCCCTTGACCTTTCAAGCTTCTGAGCAGTGATGCAATACAATAGTATTTCAAAGAAAAATGGTTATCGAAATTTTGGATCCGGTTTTCCCATGAGTGTTAATTTTTTTTTTTGTAAGTCATTTAAAATAGATCCCCTTTGGGGGACCCGAGTGCAGTCGGGTTGATGAGATTCCCTTAAAGCCCAGAGGGTCTGTTTCCGAGAGGGTGGGAAGTGAGGGTCCCGGTCCTGCCGAATCCCTGCTCCCAGGGGCCCACCCCTGACACCCCCGGGCGCGCAGCCCGCGCAGGTGAGCTGATGATCCCACCTGGAGCCGCGTGGAGGAGGCGGGGCGAGGGATGGAAGGAGAGGCTGGGCTCCGGAGCAGGGGTGTATGTGTGACGCGGTCTAGGACCCTGGCTGAGGGGTGGGGGGCGCCCGGGGCAGCCGCCCGGGTCGCCAAGGGAGGGTGGGCCCTGGGCTGGGCAGGATCTGCCCCCTCTCCCCGCCTGGCGCGCCATCGAGGTGTCTTAGCGCGGCACGGGCCAAGCCTCTGAGCGCCTCCATCCCCCGTCTCCCACAATGTAGCCCCTAGGGATCGCTTCTAGAAGGTGGGCACGGGAGGGGGGGTGGGGATGGAAAAGCCACCCCCGCTCCTTTCCCAGGCGCCAGGCCGAGGCTGCTGGCTGCGCCCGGATGCTCGGCTGAGAGCAGGACCCGGCCGTGGCACCACGTCCGGGGTGGCGGTGATCGGCGGGGGCCTGGTCCTCCCCTTTGTCCCCGAGCGGGCAGAGGTGTGGGGCTAGGGAAGGGCGTCATTCCAGGCGTCGACCGCCGGCGGCCCCGCGCGCTCCCGGCGGGTCTTCCTTGAAGCCTGCGCATTAGCGGCGGAGCCTCTTTAAAGCCGGAGCGGGGGCTGCGGTCACGTGAGGCGGATTCCTGGAAAGTTCCTGGAAAGCGGCCTCCGCAGCCGCCGGGCGGGGCGCGAGCGCCGCGCCGCGCCGCGCAGCGGGTGGAGGGAGGCGGGGAGGGAATGAGGGGAGGGAGGGAGAGAGGGAGGCGCGCCGGGGCCGTGCCGGGCCGGGAAGTCGCGCGCGCTCGCGGCTCCGGGGACGGACGTTTAACTCTTGCCAAGTCTGGCCGCCGCCGCCACCGCCGCGGCTCGCCGGCCTTGGGCTTCTCCTGAAGCATGAGCCGCGTCGCCCGCAGCCACGGGCGCTGCGCGGGCCGGCGACAGTGCGCGCCGGGGCTCCGGGTGCGCAGCCTCAGGATCCCCGGCGCCCACTGCAGGTACCGAACTGGTGTGTGTGTGTGTGTGTGTGTGTGTGTGTGTGTGTGTGTGTGTGTGTGTGTGTGTGTGTGTGTGTGTGTGTGTGTGTGTGTGTGTGTGTGTGTGTGTGTGTGTGTGTGTGTGATTCCCCGAGGCTCCGCCCCCAGGAGAGAAGCTGGGGAGGGCGGCGGGGCGCGGCGGGGCTGACTCGGCTTCCGCAGTTTAGGGCACGGCGCGGGAGGGGGGGGGGATCGAGTTGGAGCCCAGGGCTCTGCCCCGCTGCCGGGCGCTCTTGGTTCCTCTTTGCTGCTGCTCGTTCTGGTGCCTCCTCGGCGTCGGGAAGTCTCCGGAGTTTTGATTTTTTTGGGGGGGGTTCCCCCCGTCTGCCCCCTAAACTGCCATCCAAATTTATAATTCTAATAACCTGATCTCCCGCTCCTCCCCGCCAGACTGCCTCCGCCCTTGTTCTGTCCTCCCTCCCTCTCCCGCCCAGATCTTTGGTAGCTCCCATCCAGCAGCCTCCGGGTTTGGGGGGCGTCAGAACCCGGGGCGTGTGTCGGTCGGGGTGGTGGGTGTGTGGTGTTTTCTTGGGGGGGCGTGTGCTGGGTGGAGGAGCAGCGACCATCCCTTTGGGCGGAGAACTCCGGCCGCGCGCAGGGCGGCTCGCATCCCCAGGCATCTCATTCCACCGAGGGGAACTCAGGCGGACAGCCCCCTCCTCCCCTTCTCCCGGGCCTCTCCCGGCTCCCCCCCCCGCCCCACGTCCGCTGGGGAGGCTCCCGATGCGAAGGCGGCGGCGACGGTGGCGGCCGAGGTAAGAGCTCGGCGTTGGTGGATGGTGGCACGTTGATCCCGCCGCGCTCGCCGCTCCCGGCGCCGCTTCGGCCGAGCTCCTCCGGGGGCTGCGCGCTCCGGCCGATTCCTCGACAGCGCCCGCGGCGGCGGCGGCGGCGGCCGCCTGCAGTAGCTCGTCGGCGGCCCGGAGCGACCGCCGCGGCGCCCAGCGGCGCCCGGGACCCAGACCCCGGACCCCGACCCGGAGCGCGCACCGGGAAGCGGAGTGGGGGGTGGGGGTGGCGCGTAGGCTGCGAGTCACGGCGGGAATGCGGCGGCACCCGAACCCCCTGCACCGGGGGCTGGCGGCTGCTGGCGGGGGGGCGGGGGGGGCTCGGAATCGGGTTTTGCCAGGGTGCAAGAATTCTGCGGGGACCCACCGGCTGCTAGACTTCCAAAATGGAAATGCCAGTGTGAGAAGAGCTGTCTTGCTATTTGTTTCCTATTTGTCGGTGGCTGGTAGGCCCTTATTTCCCCGCCACTAGACCTGCAGGTGACTACTTGTGTTTCCTAAGCTGCCAGTTTGGGATTTCAGCGAGCAGCCCAGGCGGGAAGACACCTCAGTCCCCCCCACCCCCATCCATTCTGTCCCCACCCCCGTCACCCCCTGCCAACTCCTGGGGCTTGGATCCCCGCTCTCTTTATCCATCTTTTCTCCAGAGCTGGGCCCGTGCGGTAACTGGATGCTGGGGGTTAACTGGTGCCGGAGCCTAGAGGCGGAGGAGTCCCCGGGATTTTCCACGTCTGCGCTTCCCCACCCCCACCCCAGCCACGGAGGGTCGGGTTCGGGCCGACCCAACCCCCTCCCCGCCCACCCCACTTTGTCTTTGCAGGCGGTCTGTGGGTGATCACCTCGGCGAGCAACTTTGCCATCGGCCCACCGGGACTTGGGGAGGAAGGACCGGCGGGGCCCCGTCCCTCCCCCCTCCGGCACCATTGCGGACACCACGCAGGGGCGCGCTTGGGGGCTCCCTGTGACTTCCAGGAAGGACGCGACCACCTGTCTTTGCGGCGGGGACCCTTCTCCCATGACCCTGCGGTGTCTGGAGTCCTCCGGGAATGGCGCGGACAGGACGCGAAGCCAGTGGGGGACCGCAGGGTCGGCGGAGGAGCCGTCCCCGGAGGCGGCGCGGCTGGCGAAGGCCCTGCGGGAACTCAGTCAAACAGGTAGGGGAGCAGACGGATGGACGGCCGCGGCGCGTGCGGGAGGGGGCGCCTCCCCAAAGGCGGGGCCTGCCATCCGGACCCGGGGCCGAGGTGGTTAGCAAAAGAATGAGATGGAAACACGTCCCCAAGCTTCCTGTCCCGTTGCGGGGCGGGGAGCCGCGGTGAGGGAGGGATGCCGGCCCCGCTCGGCCCAGGATCTTAGGGAATGCAAAAGGAAAGTTGCTCTCTGAAGACCCCGATTAGCAAGTGCCTCTAATACCTGCTGCAGCCCAACAAGGTTGCAGGGCCGCCGGGCGATCGGCACACGGATTCGAACCCGGGCGGTAGAACGTGCCCGGAGCCTCCCTTTCCGCAGGGTGCCAGGGCGGCGAGCGGGCGCTTGCGCTCCCGGCAGTCTCAGTTGCGTCTGGCTCTCGGGCGGAGCCGCGGCTGCAGCCCCGGATCCTGGCGGCCAAGTTCAGGCACTGCCGGACTGCGAGGAGGACAGCTGCTCCCCGGGAATGTCGGGGAGCGCTGGCACGGGGCGCGCGCGCACTGCGTGGTTCACCCGCAGCCCTGCGCAGCGCGCGAGAGCTCGCTCCAGTCTTTCCGCATCTGAGAGAAGATAAAAATCTGTTTCTTTTCTTTCTTTTTTAAAATCTGGGTAGCCATTTCGGCTTTCAAAATCCGGATCCTAAAAGGTTAGGTTTGAGGGCGAGGCTGAACTTTTTGGTAGCAATAGGCAGAGCGAGGAGAAGGAAAGTTCCCTCGCGGCTTCCTGCTTCGTTACTGTCTTTCGGTGCGGGCGCTGGGATTTCCCTGAGCTGGAGAGACCCACTGACCGATTGCAAATATCCGGTACTTTTTATTATTACTGTTGTTATTATTATTATTGCAGGGGTGGGGGAAGTACATTGTTCAAACTTCTTAAAAATGCACACAATGCCTTTGAGTCACTTTGGAGAACCGAATGGGCCGGAGACATCTGGCCAAAGCGAAGCAAATTGGAGATTTCGGAGGAGATCGACAGGGTTGTGATTACAGCTTGAACAAGAGGGCAAAGTCCAAAGGAGTTTAGCAAAGGCTATAAACTTGGTAGTACTAATTATCAATCGTGATTTCCCCATTTGTCAACGACTGATGGGGACAGTTGTAATCAATCAGAGCGGCAAACAGAAGCCATTATATGACAACTGTACTTCTAAATCAGCCAGACCGCAGTGTTTCCGCAGACGCTGAGAAGAGGCACAGCCATTAGCAGATTTTTTTTGGGAGGGGGGGTGGGATTTCAGCCATCCAAAAAAAAAAAAAAGTTACTTCTGTTTTTACTTTATTGGAATTAATGGAATTGTGTCTTCTACTTTTTTTTAAGGGCTTGGATCTTATTTCTAACTAATTGATTTCTAATTTACTTAATTTTTATTTCTGTGAAACAGTACGAAAAGCATCTAGTTTTGTTAGCCAGTGTGTCATATTGCAAAAGTTCTTTTGGCTCATTAGAAGAAAACCTTAACATGGTTTAAAGAAGAACTACAGAAAAGTTATTTTAAAAAGAGGCCTGACTCACTGTTGGTGCTCAAAAAATAAAATGGACTCAAATTTGAGTTCCCACTAAATGCATTTGTAATAGCCACTGATTAAATTGTCTCATACACAGACGATTGTTTAAGAGCCAGAAAAATGACTTAAGTAACAGGATTCTAAAAATTCTTATAATAACTATTTTCCATTCTTTCCTTTTTCTTTTTGAACAAAAACCCCAGGATGGTACTGGGGAAGTATGACTGTTAACGAAGCCAAAGAGAAATTAAAAGAGGCACCCGAAGGAACTTTCTTGATTAGAGATAGTTCACATTCAGACTACCTACTAACAATCTCTGTTAAGACATCAGCTGGACCAACTAATCTGCGGATTGAGCACCAAGATGGCAAATTCAGATTGGATTCTATCATCTGTGTCAAGTCCAAGCTTAAACAGTTTGACAGTGTGGTTCATCTGATTGATTACTATGTTCAAATGTGCAAGGATAAGCGCACGGGCCCAGAGGCCCCCCGGAATGGGACTGTTCACCTTTACCTGACCAAACCACTCTACACATCAGCACCATCGCTGCAGCATCTCTGTCGGCTCACCATTAACAAATGTACCGGTACCATCTGGGGACTGCCCTTGCCAACAAGACTAAAAGATTACTTGGAAGAATATAAATTCCAGGTATAAGCGTTTCTCTTTTTCTAAACATGCCTCATATAGAGTTATCTCCGAATGCAGCTATATATAAATATATACACACACATATGTATATACATATGTGTGTGTATATATGTACATAAAGAGAACCAAAACTTGAGTGACTGCTCTGGATAATTGCGCAGAATTCTTCCTAAGAACAGCTGAAGTCAATTAATATAAATGTGTGAAGAGGTAGCTAAGTATTCCAAGTTCCCTTAGACATTTGCAGTTGAGCGATGCTTCCTTTCCTAAGGCTGACCAAGACCAGACAATCCTTGTCGAACATCCCAAGAAAGGCCCTGGACGCATTTGATCAGAATGCCTTGCCTTTCTGAAACTCCTTTGCATTAGGTCAAAGGTCTAAGCTCCCTTACTAGGTAAGAGTTCCCCATGGAATAGTACCAAAGGAGGAAAGGAACCCACCTGACCCAGGCCTAGCTTCAATCTTACATGCCTGTGGATCAGAGTCAGTTTGGGGACATTTTGTATTGCATTCTGATGTACTTAGGAGTTTCATTGAACAGATCATGCTTGTGAGTATTTATCCTTCATTTTATGCAATTAAGCAAATCAACCAAAAAAATATGACCATGAAATCCTGTATTTGTCTTTTTACTACACGTATGAACTCTCTCCTGTGAATGAGTACTGTAGTAATACATTTCAAGGGAGCCTTATTTCCGAATCCTTTGAAACTGGTGCAAATGGAAAAGGCCTTCCCTTTTCCTTTAAGGCTAAAGACAAGAATGTCAATGCTCTATCGGTGCAACCCAACCCCTGGTAATAAAATACCAATGTAGATAAGTAGGCATTTCACCCTTTGAAGTAGCTATGTCCGGACCTGTTGCCATTAATTTTGGAAATGGCTTTAGAAATTTCCACGTTGTCCTTGAATTGTCTAACCATGGACATCAGCAGTTCTCTCCCTTCTACCATGTAGAATACTTTTGACTTAATTTTCTTCCAGATACAGGGGGATACCTGTCTGTTTTTCCAAGTGTTTATTTACTGCTGTTACTATTTGATTAGAATGTATTAAATAAAAACAAACCTGACTTTTACAAGCTGCGCTTCTTACTTGGAGTTGTAGAGAATGTATATTTCTGTGGTCATAGAAGGCTGCCATAAAAACTTACACCAAGTGAAGTAAGCCAAATAAACATTACTGATCCTTCTCTGTAGATAAGGGCCACATCCATCCTTTGGAAAACCTGGTGTAAAAACTGTAAGGACTGACAAGCAGCCTGGCCTTTTCCAAGTTGAATAGACATAATAAAAGTGCTGTGTCTGCATAATTGTGTGTGTGTGTGTGTGTGTGTGTGTGTGTGTGTGTGTGTGTGTGTGCGTGCGCGTGCGCGTGCATGTGCGCGCACATATGTGTGCCATACAGCCTGTGACTGTTGAAAACAGACTTATCTTTTCTGGAATCCACACATGCATTTTGCCACCTTTAAAATTTTCCTGTGTAGCTGTACTATGGTGTGTTATCAGAAAGGTATATCCTGAGTAAATAGAAGGCTCAATGATATAGCTGAACTCACTTGTTGCATCTCTTACTTTGTTTTTATGAAGATCTTGGAACTCACAAGACAGTTTTGTGCCTTGAAGGAAAACACCCTGTGTATATCCAAATAGGGGAGCCAAGATGGAGGATTACTAAATGTGTCTTAGAGAGAGATTATTTGTAGACTAAAATTTAAAAGGCTAGACTCCCGACATCTGCCATTTGATGGCTTGATACCATTTTCATTCAAATATTCAGATTCTGTGTTTCTCCTTCACACCCCATTAACAATATTTGTCTAGTGTTAGCTGTGTCTTCTGGCAGAACTTACACAATGCCAAGGGGCTGTGGACATTCTTCTAGAGTCTTTTGCTGTTCTGTTCTTGTGTTGCACACTCTGCCATTTAACAGTTATCTGGGAACAAGGAGGCAGCTGTGGAGTTTTGAAAGTTCTGCATTTTGCTAGCAGGTAACCTTAGGACACTGACAGCACCCCAAGACTTCTCTGGGGTGTAACTACTGTGCAACTTATGCTCCTAATCCTCCCAATTCCAAGTAAATCCGTATGCATCGACAGGTAATCGTTGTCTTCTTTTTACAATTCTAACATTACCAAGCTCATTAGGTATCAGGTTCTTACCTCAGTACTTATGAGGTGAAGAGGAGTATTTCTGCATCAGTCAGATGAACAAGTTAGAGTAGGCTATAAAAGGAACCCTCAAGCTTTTCTACTGCTGCCTCACCTGGAAGTATATGGATACCTTTTTTGTGTATGTGTGGTACTGGGGATCGAACACAGGATGTTGCACCTGCTAGGCGATCGTTTTGGCACTGAGCTACCTGGATTAAGGTATCCCTGGATACATTAATTAGTGTTGTGCTCTGTGGCATTCCAGTCAGCCTGGCTCAGTGGTTATTTGCCTTAAACACTCAGAGAGCTTAATTAGTGAGGGGTAGGGAAGAAGATGTTTATCCTTTTACGTTGGTGGCTACCAAATGATGCCACCTACTAATTATTGATAGTCTCATTTTACATGCAGTGGAACAAAAGCGGTAGGGTATACATAGTCAGTGTTTTCATTCTGATAGTCTTTTTAGGAACTGGAGTTTTCAACTCAGGGACTCACACTTGATAGGCAGGCACCCTACTACCTAAGCCATGTGTCTAGCCTCTTAGTGTTCTCTTTCTCTTTCTATATTCTTTCCCTTAGTAGGAATATTTATTATTATTACTATTACTTGTTGAAGGCTGTTATATGCAAAATTGTTATCCCCACAGGCTTTCACTTCACCCTGAGCTCTGGCAACTACTTTTTGGGAGTGGGGAGAATTTTGTAGGACTTCAGGGGACAAAAGAAGTAGTTGAGCTTGTATGTACCCAGAGTTCTTTTTGGTGCATCAGTATGAAAGTTTTGACTTCATAGTAATTATGTAATCCAAATAGGAAACAGAATGGGATACTTGTTCGGCAGTGTTTATTTTCTTGGAAAGGTTTTTTTTTTTCTTCTGCTTTTAGAAAATTGTACCCTGTTAGGAGGGTAGGAAACAGAGACGTCATCCTATAATCCAGGGGATGGAATGTCCTGAGACCAGGCAGGCCCTTTCTGCGTTGTGGGTTTAGGTGCGGGGTGAAAGCGGGTGGAGTAGTTGTGGCTCTGTATTGTTGACTCTGACAGCTGGACTGACGTCTGTCCATAGCGGTCTTTTCTATTCTTCCAGTGAAAGAATGTTATAGACCTGTTCTTTCCTTAGAGGTCTGTGGTCTCTCCCAGCTGCTAACTTCCTAGAATTTTAAAGCTTGCAAATACTATTCCGATGACACAGTTTAGTTTTGTTGTTTTATTTTTTACTTTTACTGAAGAAGACTTTTAGATTCAGGTTAACTTTGTGCACATATATAACCAGCATATCCAGTCAGTAGAGATCTTAGGTTAGTATTTGTAAAAGCTTCATGCTTGTGGACCTTTTTATTAAAACTGTCCATACTTTTCTTTGCTACCATTCTTCTAGTATCTTTTTCTTCCTCTGACATTTGGAAGCCATGGTGGGATGCTTTCTGTGCTCCACTCCCTGGGCTCCACTTTGAAGAATCAGCAGCTCTTGATCTATATCATTTCAATTCATCCAGAATTTGTTGCTGTTTATAGTATTGGAAGTCAAACCCAGGACCTCATATATGCTAGGCAAGTGCTCTACCCCTAAGCCACCCACATTCTTAGCCTTTCTCAAAGTTTCTCATTTGTTTTAAAAGCTACAACTTTCCTTCCATTCATGCTGTTTGGAGAACTCATGGCTTCCTGGTGTGGATGTAGGGAATGGTGGTTCATTCTTGTAACTCTAGCTACACAGAAGGCCGAGACTGTGGGAATTATGATTTAATCCAGCCCAGGCAAAAAGTATCTCAGCTCAGCTATTAAAAAGTTTAATGCAGTGGTTGATATCTGACATCACAGCTACCTGGGAAGCAGAAATAGGATTGTGGTCTAGGTCAGCACATGCAAATATGAAGAAAAATACCTTGTCTCAAAAATAATCAGAAGCCGGGCACCAGTGGCTCATACCTGTAAATCTAGCTACTCAGGAGGCCGAGAACTGAAGATCATGGTTCAAAGCCAGCCTGGGCAGAAAAGTCTTTGAGTCTCTTATCTCTAATAAACCACTAGAAAACCGGAAGTGGCGCTGTGGCTCAAGTGGTAGAGCACTTGCCTTGCTGAAGAGCTGAGGGATAGCACCCAGGCCCAGAGTTCAAGCCCCACGACTGACTAAATAAATAAAAATAACCAGAACAAAATGAGATGTAGTAGTATGTACCCCAAACAGTAGAGTGCTTGCCTCACAAGCATAAAGCCTGAGAGTTCAAATATCCCACCAGAAAACCTACACCACCACCAACAACCACCACCAAAAACCCTTCTCATGTTTGCCTCTGTCAGATGTGATCCACACAGTGGAATCCATTCTGGCTTTTGCCTGCTCTTGGGCATAATGGCACAGTTAGTCCCTGCTTTACTTTCTCACTTTGTTGTGTCATGAAGTTATACTTTAGCCTATCACACTCCCACCTGATAGGCCATAAATGCTCCCATGAAAGGGGCATTATACTTATTTGCCTTAGGTAATTGATTTATGTAGACTACATTGAAATTCAATCTTACTGCGACTCTCATTCCATTCAGATTTTTGTTTTTAAACTGAGGCTTGAACTTTTAGGGCCTAGGCCTGGTTTCCTTTAGCTTTTTCACTCGGGTCTGATACTCTACCATTTGAGCACCAGCTCTACTTGTCGCTTTTTTGGTGGTTAATAGGAGATAAGAGTCTCATAGACTTTCTTTCCAGGGCTGGCTTCCAACCTGGATTCTCAAACCTCAGCCTCTTGAATAGCTAGGATTATAGATGTGAGCCGCTGCTACCAGACCCTCCAGGGTATGAAATCAATAAACAGCCCCAAGAGCCATACTTTGCATGCTTTCATTAATTAATTTATATTTATTTGTTGTTTTATTTAAAGTATCAGAGTCTCTTTGTCAGGAATTATACTTCCTATAAAAGGATGAAAATTCTTCAGCTTCTGCAGTGCTAACAATGACTGGTAATTTTGGCTCATTTCTACACGTGCATGTTTTCTTGTATTTTCGTCTTTGTATCTGCTTGATTTTTCTGCTTTCTCCTCTTTATGGCTTGAGTTTAGTTTATTTCACTCCATACTGAAGTAGAAAGCTGTTTACTAGAGCAAGCCTCCAGGAGTTCTGTCATCATGGAGGCTTAGAGGGTGGGTTGGCTGAAGCCCTAAGCAGGATGCCCCTTTCTGCCCCTTCTTGAGTCCAGTCCCTAGGGAGGCTGGATCCACTGAGTGTTGTCACCGAGAATGGACTCACTTTAGTAAACATTAACTGAGCCATAAAAATAAAACTGCTTTTATAGGCAGCTCTCCCTTTGATCTGCATTCTCCACTTAGAGAAACTGAGTTGCTGAGAGCAGGGGCAGTTTGAGATGGATTACTGTAACTCCTGTGGCTTTGCCTCTGTTAGGAACTGTAGGGAGAGGCAGGCCCGTTTTCTGGAGAGCTGAGGAAATGCCAGCTGTCTTCCTCTGTTGGATAAGCGTTGATACCACCCAAGGAGCCCCTTTGTGACAGTCAAGTGAGACTTTTTTTTTAACTGCTTAAATTTTTCACAGAACTCCATAAATGTTTCTAGATGTCCCAGTTGCAAGCAGTGGTAAGATAAACTTTTTATTTTTTTAATAAGTTTTTTTTTTATTGTGAACATACTATACCAGAGGGGTTACAATCATATGAGCAAGGTAATGAGTACATTTCTTATCAAGCATTGTGGCCACCTCAACATTTTTATTTTTTATTTTATTTTTTTGCTAAATGATTTTTCCCTTCAGTTCATCTGGGATCCCATTTCCTGTTTAGATTTTGGTCCAGTGTACTGCTGGGATCTTTAATATTCAAAAAATATTTTCCATGTTGTTTCTACCCAGAGCAGTGGTTTGGCTTCTCTTCTACCTTTTTTTTTTGTTGTTGTTCTTTGGTGCTGGTTACTGGGCTTG